TACCAAAATTGAACACATTTAACAATATTCAAAAAACCAAAAATGAAAGCAGTTATTGAACTAATTTGCAAAACCAAAATAAACAAACTAAATCGAAATTAAATAATTTAAATCTAATGCATAATTGTTTAAGTAAACTAATGCAATAGCTATAATATAATTTAAGTGTAGAATAATTTTTAAAAGTGCTAAAACAAAAAATTAAACCTAAATTATATGCAGAAAAATTAAAAGGTGTAGAAAAATTTATGCAGTATCTAAAATAATAAATAAGAATTAACTACAATGCAAAACAATGAAATTGAACAACCGTAAATTAATTCTAAGATATGTAGTAACTAAAACAGAAATTAATGCAGTAAAATTAGACCTAAATAATGAACTAAAAATTGAAACTATCAAAGAACTATAATGAAAGAAATTTAATCTAAACCGAAATTGTTAAAGAATATTAAATTGCAATCCTAAAACAACTTAGATTAAATTGAAATTCAAACGAGACTTAAATTGCATGAAAATAAATTAAAAAAGCTTGAATAAGAATTAAAACAAAATTGAAATTAAATTACAAGAAAGTAAAAGTGCAAGAATCAAAACTGTTTAAAGAAAATTTAAAGAAATTGGAAAACTTAAAAACTAGAAGAACAAGAAAGCTGAAGAAACCTAAAGATAGACTAGTCTGTCATTCCAACCATACTTTTCTTAATGTTTAGAACTAGATATTTATAATTGTAAATCTTGAAGATTTTGACTGGATGGAATTGTAGAAAAGTTGGAGTACTTCATGAATTTCGGTTGGAGGAAAATAAAACTCTTCACAAGCTTTGAACCAACACAGGTTTAAGGCTCCCAGAAATTGAGATAAATTCTGACCTTGATTCGTTGTTAATTTAGAATACCTCATGAGAAGGAGAAATTTTGGTTTTTATCTCCCAAGCATCCAAGTCAACAACCCATGAAAATTCTGATTTATACCACTTCAGTTAAAACTAGGAGACAATTCCTACTTGATTTCTTGTATGTAGCCACGGTTTTCTCCCATGCAATCTACTTGAGTTCTTATTATGCCACTTCCTACTAGGATTTCAATTGCTTCTTGAATTCAAGTAACCACTCCATGCAACAACGTGGCTTTATTTTTCTTTTTTTTTTTTTTTCTCATGCAATTTCTTCTCTTGCCACCAAGGAATCCCATCTTGCTTTGGCTTCTTGCAATTCTTGAATGCCAATTAAAAGTAGAAGTTGGAATTCCAATCCGGTTTGGTATTTTTGAACAAAATTTAAGTTCCTTCATGCTAAGTCAGCTGCCAAGTAAGCATCCTAACTATCCAATAAAATACCAGCTGCTTGCAACATAATTAAAAATCATCCCCTGCATGTGTATCTACAAAGGACTTGCATAAGATTTCTTAACGTAAAATTCTGCCGCTATCAAATTGAAAACTGTATAATTAAATTGTAATGGCTGCATGCTTGTAAATGTAACATGTTCTTGAATCGAATTCATCCTCATACTGCCTAAAAAAAAATTTTTTTTTTTTTTTTGCCATTTTTCTTCCCAACTTCAGCTCCAAAGTAGCTCAAAACAGCTTGTAAAAGCTTCAAACAGCCTCTAAAAAAATCTGGTTAATTGCATCAACTAAGCTGTTAGTCAATCTACCATATTCTCCAAAAATCAAACGAATTTGCCAAATATTCAACTTTTTCATCTTTTTTTTGAAAATTTCCTACACATGAACAAATTAGACTAATTAAGGAGAAAAATTAAATTATTTTGCCAAGAACAAAGTAAAATTCACATAATTAAGTACTAAAAATAATTCTGTTTTATAGAGTTATTAGTTCTTTCTTGCACCGAGTATATATATAATTATATATTTATTTGTTTATTTAATTTTATATTTATATATATTATATTAATAATATTATTATTTAATATATTAATTTAATTAAAATATCATATTTATACATAATTAAGATGTAATTCATCCGATATATAAATTTTACTTATTTTAATTTCTATTTGACCCTTATTCAAGGTGTCTGCATGGTACCCAATGTTTCTATCCTTTTTTTTTTCCTTTTTCTTTCTTAAACATTTTGGTTTTTTAATTTTTTTAAATTTAAATAAATTTTGTGAAAAAAAAAAAAAAACACAATGAAAGTGTCCACATGACATACTCATTTGGTTTTATTCCTTTTTTTAATTAAATAAATTTTGTAATAAAAGAAGTCAATACATAAGAATGATAAAACAATTTGTATCCGATGAGTTTTGACCCAACTCAATCAGATAGAGATGATTTTTCTCTTTTTTTGGTTTTTTTTTTTTAACTTTTACTTTTTGGTTTTTGGTTTTTCTTTGTTTATAGTTTTTTAAATTTGATAAATTTTGTAAAAAATGATGTCAATAAAAGAGACTATGTCACACTTTCATTTGTTTATTTACTTTTGTATTTTTTTGTATTTTTAATTAGATAAATTTTATAACAAAATGAGCTGATTGACCCCAATGATTTTCCTTTCCCTTTTTTTTATTTTATTTGTTTTTTCAATTCTTTCTTTTTTTTTTGTTTTTATACTTTTTATTTAAATTAATTTTATGAAAAAATGAAGCCAAAAGGGATGTCCACATGGCATGCCCATTTGGTTTTTTTTTTTTTTCCTTTCATCTATTTTAAAATTTTTTTTAAATTATATAAATTTTACAACAAAAGATGCAAATCGATAGAAATACCAAAATAATTCATATTTGACATTTTTTGATTTATCCCGATCTAATAATGGCTCATTTGTTTTTAAAATAGGATTGAATTAAGACAGATAAAATTTTTTTAAAAGAAATGAGATCAAGGTGAAAATATGTTTAAAATACTCTTTCATGACCCATTTTGGGATATATATATATATATAGTGTATATTTTATTATTTTTAATTTTATATTTATATATATTATATTAATAAAATTATTATTTGATACCTTAATTTAAGAAATTAATTTTTTAAGCTCGTGTTCACGTAGCACTCTTTATGAGCCTTTTTTTTTTGTTCTTCATTTTTTTTTGTTTTTTGTTTTTTGTCATTTTATCACTTTTTTCTTTTTCAATTTTTATTTTTTTATTAGATAATTTTGTGAGAAAAGATGCCAATTAAAGTATTTACGTGTCACATCATTTACTTTTTTTCACCTATCATTTTTTTTAAGTAGGTAAATTTTACAACAAAAATTTGATGAAAAGGAATAGCAAAATAAATTTTTGAATCGCGGTAGCTCGTGGATATCCACCAAGTAATAATAATTTGTGCATTTAATTTTCTGATATAAGATTATAATGGGCAAGAAAATTAAATAATTTTCTAGTTATGTTAATTATTAGAATTATAATCGGGTAAAATTAGAACTAAAAATTATATATGTGTGAGTAATATATATAGATATAATAATTTTAAATATAACATATTGACTCAACGTAAAAAATAATATGAATCTTAGAAAAAACGTGTTTTGTGTCTTACACATTATTGATACAAAAATATATTTAAATAAAATGTGTCACATTGATACACATTTAACACATGATATAACACGAAAAACATATTTAATTAAATCATGTCACTTGGGCATAACACATTTTTATTTTATTTTAGTTTAATATAAACACATAAAAATTATTTTAATTTTTAATTTGTTGTTATGATATCTAATATTCTACTCAATATAATCATATAAAGATTATTTGAAGCATTTAATTATGATACTCATTTAATAATTTACATTGAATATTTTTTATATTAATAATATAAGTACAACATAAATAATAATATTAGTATGATAGATCATTATTTAGTAATTTATATTTATTGTTTAATCTTTAGTAGCTAGTGTTTTGGATTTGTTGGTGCTAAAAATAAATATAATTATATATCCATTTATGAGTTTTATATTAGTAATGTGTATATTAAATATATATATGTTAAATGCATATTAAATGGGTATTAAATGTTTATACTTTTAATATATAAGTATTTTTTATATTAAATATGTATAAATCTTAACATATTAAAATTATATTATGTTTTGTAACTTTTTATAATAAGATTAAAAATATTATTTAAAAAACAATTGAGAGGAACAATATATATTTAATTATTAATAACAAGTAACATCCAGCATTATTGTCATTAACAAACTAATCCAAATCACATTGATATATAATAATAAATTATATTGATAAATTATTCTAAATAACATGAATAATGATAAAAAAAAACTATATAATTATCTTAATAACATAAATCATGATAAGAGATTATTTTAAATTATATGTAAAAATCAACATAGGAGATTATATATTTAAAATTAAAAACAATATATATTCTAAATAATTATAATTATTATTTTACTATTTAAATATAAATTGTCGAGTATTTTGTTAATTGAAGATATTATGTTAAATATATATTATGGAGTATATTTATGAATTATTTTAAATAGCACATGATTTGGGTATTTGTGAATTATTTTTCTATTTCAAATATATATTATGGAATGGATTGAAGACATTATTATTTTGTTATGTAAGTTATTGATTAATATTTTTAGTAGAACATCTCTTATGGAAATTGGAGACTTGGATTTGGAGTTATGTAATTTACATTGTATAAATATTGAATAAGCTATTATTTAGTGTTTAATGTCTTCTCCTATTTAGTACTTAGTTTTATTAGTCTAATTGTAACTTATAAATAATTAGTTGTTTATTATTTTGGCTTTGTAAATTTGTATTAGTTCCATTACTTGTATTATATTTAAATGAATCGGTTATACACATATTAATTATATCATTTAATATATAAAATTTATGATAAATGTATCGTATTTGTGTTTAATATTTAAATATACTTATAATTTATGTTATATTTATATTTTAATAATTCATATTATATATATAATACGAAATAAGAATACACGAATTGTTAAGTTTAGATGCATACGAAGAAAAACAATTCAAAAACTTTTCAAAATGGCATTATTATCCTAAAAACCATCTTGCACGATGGGATAAATAAAAGAGAATGTTGGCCGTTGGATCGAAAGTGTGATAAACACCTTGTTTAATAAAACCAGGCCTTCACGGCGGTGTAACTCTATTTGTCTTCTCAGACTCCGATCCCTCTTTACCTCCATTTTAACTTAACCCTACCGGGAAACAAAAGCAAAAAGAAATCAGTTCCGCCATACAGGTATTACTCCCCTTTCTTTCTACTTTAATTTTTATTTTTACATATATAATTTTGATTTTAATTTGGAATTTCTGTTCGTGATTAAATATATGTTGTGCTTTTTTTTTTTTTCAATTCGCGCATTTTCTTTTACGTTGAATATAATTGGGTAACCCAAAATGGCAAGAGTGATCTCCAGTATTGAAGCAGAGGCAACGGCTTTGAGAGAAGGAGCGTTGCTAGCTGAAAAGATGAATTTTAAGAAGGTTAATGTGGAAACTGATTCAAGCAACTTATATAGGGAGGTGAACAGGAAGGAAGGGGCATGGCCGTTTGTTAAGGATGTTTGAAAGGATTAATAGGTGGATTCACAGAAAATCCAATAGAGCGGCGTATTAGTTAGCTAAACAGTCCTAAAAGGAGATATGTATTTATCAAACTGGTTAACCTCACCCCATCTTCTTTAGTTTTCATTTTGGATAAGGATGGGGTGCCTGCCTACCATGAGGTGTAAAGCTGTATAGGTCACTTTAGAAAACGGAGACTGCGTTTTGATTGGTCTCGAATGTATTTGTAGAGTTGCATGTGTAAAGTATAGAAGAATAGATGACTATGTACTGTATGAGATTGATTTTGAAGGAAAGGAATAAGATTTGTTGATTGGCCAAAAAAGAAGATATATAATTGGGCAATAATTCTTGCCTTGTAGTTATAAAATGAAAAAAGAAATTAATTTGGCTAAAATGTGGTTTTTTTCTTTTTTTTTTAAAATTTTTGGAAGTGAAAAGTAAAATACACTGACACAAATGAAAGAAAAATTTCATGGAATAGACAAAAAAAATGATGGAAGAAAGGAAAGCAGTAGGTGAACTTGAATTTATTAAATCTTTCCTTGGTGCTGCTATGTTTTCCCAGTTTTCCATTAAAGGGTGGTTTTGTTGAAATTCATCTCATGGTGATACCATTAACTTGTTTTGTTGTATGTCTAAGAGACATCGAAGAATTTTGTTTGTTTCAATGGATCTGTAGTCAAATATTTTGTGCTTATAAGTAAATCCCATATAAGAGCTTTAGAGGCCTTTAAATGCTTATCATGGATGAATATGCAACCAAAATTAGCTTAGTCTTGATTTAATTTCCAAACTTTGTTTGCATGGATAATCTTGTACAGTTCTGCTTCAGGGCAACATCAAATTTTTTTTTGTTCTACATGCCCCTTAAAGAATATTTTTGGGGTTTTGCTAATTTTTTCTTGGCTAAATTCTACATTTAGTTGCTTATTTTCTATGCATGTTAAAGTCATTTTAAGTGGATTTCTTTGAACTTATCACACTCTTTCTCAGAACCTGAAAATGAAAAGGTCAGTTATTACACCCTTTATCGTGTTTTGTATGATAACCAAATAAATTTGTCATGAATGAAAGTTCTCAACCAAATATAGGGTAAGGATAAAAATTCTTTTTCAGACTGCAACATGTTATAAGTTCAGTTACTTGGTTTTTGCATTTTAGGGTCTTAAGTCATTTTGAGTCATTATGTTTCCATGTCATAGTATCTTTTCTGTAATCTTAGAATATAGATTATAAGCACTAGTTGATGGTTGAATTTGTTTTAATAGGCTGTTGCTGAGTGAAACTATTTCAAGTTACCTGTTTTCAACCTTTTTGGTTTTAAAAATTGTTTCCTTTTGTTTATCCACATGGTCTGATCATGTTTTCTGTAGTTAACACAAAACTTTTTGACTATTTCTCGTGTCTTGGAAATATGGGGATTGCATCTTCTTGGAAAATGAAAAAGATTTGTGGATTGCCGTTGCCTTATGTCTAAAGACTTTGTTAGTAATTTTATGGGACCTAGGAAAATGTATCCTCTTAATTTGTTATGAAATTTTTTGCAGTTTTAAATTATTTTGGATCTTGAATTATTTTGATATCTTGTATAAAACAACAACAAACTAAGTCTTATATCCTATAATTTTGGGGTCTGCTATATGAAAGGCCAAAAAAAGAATCATGTTAGGTCATAGTTTTGAATTTTCTTGCACCACTCATTTCTATCAACAACAACCTTTTCATCTACTTCCTTAATCTTCATATCATTTTTTCTTACTTACATCTACGTTTTTCGTGGTCTACCTCTAGAAGTTTTGGTCTCTCCTAAATTTAGAAGCTCATTTCTCCTAACTGGTGCACAGATAAGCTTACATTTCACATGTCTAAACCATCCCAAATGGTCTTCTCTCATCTTTTCCTCAATTCAACTTCCCCTAATTTTTCTCAAATCTCTTCATTTTTTATTTTGTCTCTTCTAGTTTTACCACATATCCATCTAAGTATCTTCATCTCAGCCAAACTCATTTTCTTCTCATGTTGTTTCTTGACAGCTCAACACTTAGTTCGATATAACAATGCAAGCCTTATAGTTATTTTATACAATTTCACTTTAACTTTAAAGGCATGCTGTGACTGCACAACACACCTGATGCACTTTGCCACCTCACCCTCCTACTTGAATCCAATGATTTAAATCCTTTTCTATCTCAACATCATTCTGAATAATTGATCCCAAATATTGAAAATGACTATATAGGTTCTATAATTTTTTTCTATAACAAATGTGGTTTTTTCTTGGGGTTTCATGGCTGCAATCCTTTTCTCATTCGTTGGTAGTTGTAATAATGATATAAGCTACTATGTTTTTATTGTGCAGATATTTGCAAAATAACAGGTTCATGTGATGGATTTGTCTGATGCAGTCATAGTAAATTCGAGCAGATTGAAATCTATTGTGTGGAATGACTTTGATAGGGTTAAAAAGGGTGATACATTTGTGGCTATTTGTAGGCATTGTAAAAAGAAGCTTAGTGGATCAAGTACTAGTGGAACTTCACATCTGAGGAACCATTTAATTAGGTGTCAGAGAAGATCTAATCATGGCATATCTCAATACTTTTCTGCTAGAGAAAAGAAAATGGAGGGATCTCTTGCCCTTGTAACTATCGATCAGGAGCAGAAGAAGGATGAAGTGCTTAGTCTAGTGAATCCTAGATATGAGCAGGAACAGATTAAAAACGAGCCTGTTAGCATTGGTAGTAATAGCTTGGATCAAAGGCGGAGCCAATTTGATCTTGCTCGTATGATCATATTGCATAACTATCCACTGGCTATGGTGGAGCATGTTGGATTCAAGATATTTGTCAGGAATCTACAGCCATTGTTTGAGCTTGTCACATATAATAAAGTTGAAGCTGATTGTGTGGAAATCTATGCAAAGCAGAAGCAAAAGGTGTATGAAATTTTGGATAAGATGCCTGGAAAAATCAGTGTAACTGCTGATGTGTGGACTGCTTCAGATGATGCTGCATGCTTGAGTTTGACAGCATACTTCATTGATGAGGATTGGCAATTAAAAAAGAGGATTTTAAATTTTTTTACCATCGATCCTTCTCATACAGAAGACATGCATTCTGAAGTTATAATGACTTGTCTGATGGATTGGGATATAGATCGTAAGTTGTTTTGTATGATATTTGATAGTTTTACCAGTGAAAACATTGTTGATAGAATCAGAGATCGGCTGTCGCAAAATAGGTTCCTTTATTGTAATGGTCAATTATTTGATGTTCGCTGTGCCGTAGATCTTCTCAACCGCATGGCTCAGGATGCCTTGGAAGCTCTCTGTGAAGTTACCCAGAAAATTCGGGAATGCATTCGTTATGTTAAAAGTTCAGAAGCAACAAACTCCATGTTCACTGAGCTGGGTAATGAAGTTCAGGTTGAAAGTAAAAAATGCTTATGTATTGATAATCCATTGAAATGGAACTCAACATATTTTATGCTTGAAGTTGCCTTAGAATACAGGAAAGTTTTCTCCTGTCTGCAGGATCGTGACCTTGTCAACATGAAGTTCTGCCTATCTGATTTGGAATGGAATAGAATGAGTGTCATTACTAGCTTCTTGAAGCTATTTGTTGAAGTTACTAATGTTTTTACAAGAAGTGAGTATCCAGCTGCAAATATATTTTTTCCTGAGATATGTGATATTCACTTGCAGTTGATTGACTGGTGCAAGAATCCTGATGATTATATCAGTTCTCTGGCTGTAAAGATGAGAAAGAAGTTTGAAGACTACTGGGATAAGTGCAGTTTGGGTTTAGCAATTGCAGCTATGTTGGATCCTCGATTCAAAATGAAGCTCTTGGAGTATTACTACCCGCAATTATATGGCGATAGTGCTTTGGAGCTTATTGATGATGTTTTCGAGTGTATTAAATCGCTTTACAATGAACATTCTATCGTCTCTCCATTAGCATCGTCCCTTGATCAGGGACTGGATTGGCAAATGAGCGGTATTTCTGGTTCCGGAAAAGATTCTAGGGATAGGCTGATGGGGTTTGACAAGTTCCTTCATGAAACTTCTCAGAGTGAAAGCTCAAATTCAGATTTAGACAGGTACCTGGAGGAACCTCTATTTCCTCGTAATGTTGATTTCAACATATTAAATTGGTGGAAGGTTCACACTCCACGGTATCCTATCTTATCGATGATGGCACGCAATATTCTAGGAATACCCGTATCAAAAGTTTCTGCAGAATCAGCATTTGACACCGGAGGAAGAGTGCTTGATCATAATTGGAGGTCATTGCCTCCGACTACCATTCAAGCCTTGATATGTTCACAAGATTGGATACGGAGTGAACTTGAGAGTTAGTTTTCCCTGCCCCCATTGCACCCACCACCATTTTTTTTTGTTTAAAAAATTTTTGTTTGGATGGAAGAGAGGATGGAGGTGGGTGCATAGGAGGTTAGGATCATTTTCTCTACCTGCTATTTGTCGATAACTTTCTTTCTTTCTTTCTTTCTGTGTCATTTTAAGAATTTTATGGGTTTACACAATCACACCATAGTTATTAAAGTTGGATCGGATAATGAATTTTTTAATGTGTCGGCTCACTTGTTCAATCATTGAGCAATTGGGTCAAGTGTTAAACTGATAAAGATATTTAAAATTATAAATATTGTAAAATTTTAATCTATTATATGATAAATAATAAATTTTTATTATAGATAATTTTGCACTTAAAATATTAAAATATATAACATAATATAATAAGCACAAAAATGTATGTATATTTAAATATGATAAATTTAAAATTTAAACTTCTAATTTCTAATTGAAAATACTAGTCAAAATATCAAATAACTCAATTATATTAATTTAAATAATAAAATAAAAATAAATACCTTAAAAACTTAAAAACACAAAAAAAAAAGAGAAAACTCATATAAATATAAATTGAGAAAAAATAAAAAATAGAAAGTACGTTCAAAATTATGATATTTGATATAAAATCAATCAAATTCCAAATTAATAGATAAATTATTAATTTTAACCAACCAAGTTTTATCTTTCAACTTGACGTGAGTGTATCACCTAGAAATAGAAATGAAAAAGGGATTTTGTTTTTTTAAGTTAATTCTTTAATGTGCGTAAAGTGCACGAGATACATCACCATTTTATTTATATTTTAAAATTTAAAATTTCTATTTTACTTCAAAATATATTATTTTAATTAAATAGCACAATAATTCATAATTTTAATTATAAAAATTAAATTAATAATAATTTTTAAGATCCTTTTTGTCAAAAAAATTAAAGCTCGTTTGGTGTAACAAAATTATCCACATATTAATTAAATCGTGAGTTCAGTACAATTTAAAATAAGTTAATTGTAAATCTGCTTTGATAATATAATCAAATTAATTTAAGTATCATATCACTGATTCAATTGATTCAATCAATGATTTGATTTGATTTTGATAAATATGATTTACACTACCAAAATTAAGTTTAGTATCAATAGAAATTAGTATAATTATTACTAATGAAATTTCGATAAAATGTCAAAGAAATTTACTAATAAATAATAATTCGTTGGTAAATATTTAAAGGGAAATAAAAATATTGGTTTGAGAATTATTGATGTATATTTTAGACACTAAATAAGCTGAGAAATTTTTCACCGACACAAAATTTAGTCTTTAAAATTTTATTTTTCTGGTAATTTATAGATCAAACTTCAAATCATTCTATCCAAGCTTTTTGCCCACCTTTAGGCTGCTTTTGATGTAATTGAATTAGAGTTTCTATCATTTTGTCACATATTTGGCTGATAAAAATTATCATATAGATTTAGGGTTGATTTGGATTCATTCGTACTTCTATTTCAATGACATTGGATCACTTTTTGAATTACATTTTGAACTTAATCACACCAATAAGGTGTTTTGATTCAATTGGTGTGGCATGGTTGGTTCATTCAAATCGTGACACATCTCGTTTATTAAATAGAAGGTTTCTCAATGAAAAATTAAACCACTTTTATTTTATTTATAGGACAGTCGACTTTCTTGTATCAGTCAGTCGATTACTCTTTTAAAAAGTGATTTGTCTTTCGCTAAATATTTGACTTACTTCACCCGAAAATCTAAATATATTATATGTGCAAAACATTTAAAATAATTTTACTTAACATTATTAGATATTAAATTTGTCCAAAGGTTCTGTCCCTTTCAGGCCGCGTTTATCATTTCGGACAATTGTCCTATCGATTTACATAGAGATAATCAACGCTAAGGTAGTAATTAGATTCCGTATAATTTAGTAAATATACATATAAATATATTTTTAAATATTTATTTATAAAAATATTACTTATATAAATAATTTTAGTAATTTATAATACTTATTAAATTTTCAAATATAAAAAGTATATAGGCAAAAAATAAAAAAACTTTCAAATAAAAATTTAATAATTATTTAAGCTCCTAAAATTTTATCACAATTAATCAAATCTTGAATTTTTTATTTTGAATCAATTGAATCTTTAAATATTTATTTTTACTCGATCAAGTTTTCAATTGAAGAGAACCAATTAAACATTTTTATTCTAACGAGAGCTCAATTAGTAAAAATAAATATTTACGGATTTAATTGATTGTAGAAAGCAATAAAGATTTTGATGATTTATTAAATTTTACTTTAAGAGTTTTTTTAATCTTTTTATCAAATATATACTATAAATTTTATTACATATAAATTTTAATTTAATATTTTAAGATAATTTTTTCTTATCATGTTTTTTAAAATATTTAATCTTACCGTCATTGTTGTTTTCAATATTACCGAAATAAATATCTTCACATATCCAAATGGATCGGCATTTCTTGTTTTATTACAAAGTACAATAGAAGCCGATATATTATGCTATAGTTGGTTATGATATTCTCACCTAGAATTGTCTTTTGTGTATAGGGGTAGATCTAAATGGTGTCATAAATTGTCTATGAACATCCTGGAAAATTGAAAAATAAGAAAAATTAAAGGAAAATCTTTCTTTTCAATACCTTAAAAATTATTCTAAATACTTTTTCCATTCATAAAATTAATAAATCAATTAGGAAATGTTTTATATATTATAAATGGAAAAAAATTCAATTCATCACTGCTTATGTAAATGTGTAAACATGGAAAGAAATGAATGGGAAAAGAAGGTGATGAATCTTAAGGGGCAAGAATCATAGTTGTTAATTTTATTTTGGTATTGACCATGTGCTTTAGTTAGAATAAATATGATACACTAAAAGATAATTTATTGTATCGAGTTTGATATCAAGTAATACCGATTGTTTTTATTAGTCTCAATCGATTTCGATGAATTTTGTAAAATAGCATGTTTCGATTGATATATAAATGTAAAATATTTTTATAATTTTTAACTTATCTTTATTTATTTATCTATTTTTAACATAATAAAAATAAAATTAATTGATAAAATAAACTTTAAAAGTTGAGTTTCTTTTTTTTTATTTTAACTTGTTTTTTTTATATTATATGTTTTCAAACCAAAATTTATAATTTTATATTTTATTTTTTCAAACCAGAGTTTATAAGTATTTTAATTTTTTTTCAAGAAAGCAATTATACTCCCTATATAAAGTTTAACAATCATAAAGCCTTTGTTATTTTTTTCATCTTTTTGTTTTTATCTTAATATTTACATGAAAAAAATATTTATTTAAATATAATATGATCAAATTAAGTATTTATAAATATCATGAAAAAATTATGATATTATTTCTTATATTTTTAAACTTATTTATTTGATTTCTGAAGATATTGCATATTTATTTTGTAAATTATTAATAATATTATTTCATGCATGTTTATAAATATATTTGTATTAAACTGAAAATTTTGAAATAATATGTTGAACAACTGGTATTGATATATACCATATGTTTTTAGAAAATCGAGATGTTATTCAATATGATATTAACAACCTTGGCAAGAATGCCTTCCACTTGTTAACAGAAATTGTGAAATTAATGATATTTAACATTTTATAGCTCACTTGGATGGGATTATCAATTTTGTTTTTTTGTTTTTTTTTCTTTTGAGTGCAATGTATGGGATTTTCTATTTTGAATAAGATGAAAACTCTATTGTTTAAAAATTTACATTGATTCACATATGGTAAGCAAGCTCCAACTAAAATATTGTTAAATTATTTATACTTAATTGATATGATATTTCATCCTTTCCTTTTTTCATTATTGGGTTACTTATTTATTTGATTGAAGAAAATTTCCTTATTCACCAACAATGTTAAACTCTAGCAGGACTAATTACTATTAGCAGAAATCAAGTTCATGCAAAATAGGGTAAATGTTCATCCCTACTTTTATATCTTCATAGCTAGAGAAAAAACCACTCAAACTCAACATACATAGAAGATTATGGATATCAAACAACAACCATTTTAATTTGATAGTTTTACCTTCTTTTTTTTTAATATCTTTTAACATCTTTTCTTAAAGCAAAAACATTAATTGACACAAACAATGACTCTTTTTGTAGGATTAATGCATGCATTACATACATGCCTACAAATGAATTTAAAAATAATATGAAAAATGGTTTTCAGGTTGGTGTTATAGATGATCCTACTACTCTTAGGTTACTTTAAGCAGTTATAAATACTGACTCATAGCTTTCTTCCAAATTAACTTAACATGTTCATAGCTTGGCCACTCCATATTCAAGCTATATGCAAATTAGGCTTTGAGTTACTATGTTAGTGGTAACCAAAAATACTAATATGGAAGCTCAAAATTGCAACATGTTAATAAATTAATTTATATGACTCTTAAAAGGGACTTGAATGTTCATGTCAAACCTAGATCTGTTGGTATATGTACCTGATCTGTTGGTGTCGAGCTCTAACCTGGAGGCATTCTTGAAAAGATAAAAGAAAAGAAAATGATGGTTAAAGGCAAAGGCAGAGTGTGTTCCCTATGTTTGCACGTCGATGCATAAGTCAGAAAGGCTCAGGTCGAAAAAGAAGTAAGAAAGAGAGAAATGGGGTAAGATCAACATGCCTTAATGGATTATGGATCTTCATATTTATAGGTAAGCTATGGGGGATAATAAGAACAGTATCGAGTTGATGTGGCACTGAACATGTTAGATTAACCTGACATGTCAAGTCGACACAAATGACAAAGATAACCCTAGTTGCCTGTTGAAGGCTTCAAAGAGACAAAAAAATTATTATGCCCTTTTGACCATTAAATGCCTCTAACTCACTGTTCCCTTACCAAGCAATTTGAGTATCAGATCATCAAATGTATGACTGATGTCCCTAGTGTAAGACATTAGCAGAAGAAAATAACTTGAAAGTTTAAGTCTTTGAAGTCGATGTTATAAGGGGAGGATGATCTTAGAGGATAGCAAGCTTTGAGCCGTAGTCCAATCTTGCAGCTGCCCAATCCCATGAATGCATCTTGGGTTGAGTGCATACTCGGCTAAAAGGTTACCAAGGTGATAATCATTTGGAATGATTCAAGGTTAGTATTGGAGTTCATCTGATCATGGTAAAACTTATATTTTATTTTAAAATCTTGGCTTTAGGCCTCCACTTTAAACTCTAA